TGTCCTAATGAGAAATTTACCATGAACAAACATAAAGTCACTGATTGAGGTATTGTTGGGAATCAAGCAGGGAACCTCAGGCAGTCAAGTATCTTTGATTCGTTACTATCTCAACAGTTACCAATCGTCTGTCTCTTTCAGAAAGTGAATTTGTGGTGAGAGCTGTCTGCTAGCCAAAATTGTAGACACCAACTTACGTCAATGTTTATGTCCCTAATCGGGGTCACGAGATAAAACAATAGCAAGGCCTAACCTTGAGGAACTCAACAACCAATCACAGCAGACTTAACGTGTGCAAATACGATTCGCAGATATATGGCCTGACTTTCTAAGGAACGGCCACAAAGAGCTGACCGAATAACCTTTAGCAGGAAAACAACCAATCAGAAGACTCTGCTTCTCTGCTAACAATAACGAATAATAATGTACATAAAAATCTATAAAAATCTGTTGATTTTCTCAATAAACGATCTGTTGCCTGGCCCTTGTCTTCTGTCGTTACAAATTTCAAGTGCCTCCTCGCAGTAAAAGAAGGATTACAGAAACACCTTGTTTTATGACAAGTAGAGTCAAACACCTTCAACCAGAAGGCTGTCTAACGGTTATATTCAATTAACACCTAAAGGAGAGTCACTTCAGTGATGAAATACTACCTGGCTGTCATAACTGAGGCTTCTACCGGAACAGGCTGGATTAGGGGAAATCACGTCATGCATGGACTGAATTGTCAGAATAGCAATAATCAACTATCGATTCTAACTTCCTCGAGATTCAAAAGGCGATTGACAGCATCGACCATAAAGTGATACTATGAAGTGGAGTGTCACAAACGGCTATAGGATGATGACCCAACCTGATAAGTAATTCATCCCAACACAGAGCTCAATGAAACGTCTGAATTGAAGACAAGAGTAAGACAAGACTGTCTACTGTCACCAAGGATCTCCTTTAATTGAGGTGAACTGGATCATGAATTAAACACTTTTGATTGTCAAAAAGACCCTAGAAAGTCTAGATTTTGCAGGTGATTTGTATCACCTCATTTTGCACATAGAGAAGACAGAAGTTGGTGAAGACACCCGACTAACAACAACACGCATCGATTACAATCAGTGGGAGAAATTCAAAAGGAAGTCGTCCCAGTGGTATCCCTTCAAATACAGGAGGTGTCACATGATGATGATGATGCTGTCAAAGTCAGCCAGGATCGAGAAAACAAGACAGGCGTATACTATTCTGAAATTAGTAGGGAGATCTACGGCATTTGACACAAGGGAGAACTTCCAGCACTAATGTCATGTCAGTCAGTGCCTCCATAAGATTCAAAGACTTGGTGGGTGATTATCAATAAGCTCTGATTTCCTCCTCACATGATCTACTCCATGTCGTGCATTCAAAGTGGTACGCAATTCGTCATCTCCTATTCAGGTTCCACTCAACGGCTTCCTCGGCGTACATCCAATCCACTTACATTCCCTTGGGGATATTTATGAGGCAATAGGTTCTTGGTTGGTTCGTCGCCTTACAGATTTCCTTGTGACTAATCCTTTCTGGCCATCTGATCTTCAGTAAAGAGCTGAGAGGGTAGCTGTCGCTGAAAGCCTACAAGAGGACATAGGGAATACTTTTCTCATAAGACTCCAGATCTCTGAACCAAATAGAAGCATATGTTAAACAAATATTCATTCATTGTGAGAATATGTCTGAATAGAAATAACTCGCTTTAGTTAGCTGAGACTGCATTTCTCATGTTAGAGAATATTACTCTTATTTTTATAAAACAACTCCACACTACTCATAAGTAGCAGTACAAACGATTTGTAATACGCATACAACATTCAGGGATACGAATTCAGTGTTTGAAAATCACGTTCATTTTAATGTTAGACAGAGATAGGCTTTTCCACTGAGAGTACAATTTCTTCTCAGCCATATATCACTGACAGCATTATGTCACAGGATTTCATAATGAGCTGACATCAGTTAGAGAACCATTGGAAACCACCAAGGAGTACTGGACAGCTGTTTCGTCGCCTGAATACCAATACTTGAATATCAATGAGATGCTCACTAGAGACTGGGTCCATTCATGTGGGTAGTTAACTGTGGTTATAATGGAAAGTCGCGACCAGTAGGGTACAGAAGGTTGTGTGTGAAGACAAATACTAGCCAGAGATAACATTGGCTAGTGCCAGTCCCGCTATGTCATGAATTGGCAAAAGTTGGAATTCATGAACTGGCTATTAAATCCTGTCCCAGTGGCTTAACAGTCTACGAGCTAGCTCACTAGCCTTGCAACCAGAAGGTCCTGAGTTCGAAACCTGGTGGCGGGTGCGTACCGATGAAGAGTCCCAAAATAAGGTGAAGAAACAGGCGTCCAGTACTCCCAGCTGGTTTTACAATGGTTCTCTAACTGACGTCAGCTCATGATGAAATCCTGTAACCAATCAATCGAATCCCTACAAACCAATACTTGAACATTATGTCAGTTGGTATATAAATGTCTGTTGAAAATATGATTTCATTCCGGTGTGATGCATGGATAGTAATCATCAGGAGAACAGTTCCAAATTATAGAACACTGAGCAGCTGATTCTTTCGATGTTTAGTGCCCATAGAACGAGTCATAGCTAATATAAGTCTGGATCGTTACACTTCATGCTCAGAACTACATGGCTTTCCCTTGGCCTACATGATTACAAGGCTAACAGCCATTATCCTTCTGATTGTAGTTGAACTTTATCATGCGCAGAAAGAAGACAGTGAGGAGACGAACATACACTGGATCTAGAAAAGCACCCTGGAAAGTCCGAATTTCGCACACAGTTGATGTCTCATGTTATCTAAACTATTTGTCAGGAGGGCTAAAGAAGACAGGATTTCAGGTGAATATAGGAGAAAACAGACCTGATGAAGATACCCGACCGACCACAAACAAACATCAGTTACCATCAATGCGAGAAATCTACCTCGGCACTATTGTTTCAGCTACGTACAGGCGGCATGGATGAAGATGTCAAAGGCAGTCAAGATCTAGGAAAGGCAAGACTGGAGTTCATTACTCTGAAGTCAAATGTCGAGATTTACGGCATATAGCTCAACAAACAACATACGAATATTAAAAACTAATGTGTGGTTAGTCGGCGCTTTTGTGTGGTTCACATACTTGATCCGCACGTCACAAGAAGCCTTCAAAACAACCTACCGTAGAATTTCACCATCAGCTATTCCCTTCTATGTATAATCAAGAGCAGATGACGGATCTACGAGAAAGGATAAATAACAGGGAACCCTGCGAGTCAGTGAATCAGCCAACTACCAATTATCTAGAAGGAAATGGAGATGGGTGAGACATACTCTGTGGAGACCTTGGAGTGACATCCCATGCCGGATACTTGAGTGAAACCTGGATAAGAGTCGACGATTTGGGTATCCAAGGATGACATAGAGATAATTTGATGAATAAGAAACAGAAGCTTGTGGGCAGTCGTGAAACCAGCTGAAAGTGATGTCAGAGGATCAGATCAAGTGGAGTGAAGATGAACTGCTGAAGTCATATGTTCCAGTGTGAACACAAGGCATGGATAATAATATTAATAATAACAATAACTGTGGTCCTACAGCAGGTTAATACCACGGTTCAAAAAGCCTGATAGGAACGTCTTTGCCTGAAACCCTCGTTAATGCGATCACCACGAGGAGTGGTTCTAAATCTTTTTCAGTCTAACCACACTTCAACTAACAGATCAAGCAGTGACCATTGAAGCATGATAGCACATGCCCCAGCCAGTCAATGAGGATTCACAATCTCACTGGTTGAATGACGTTCACTGCTTAGGGTTTTACATGCCTAACCTCATTGTTGGTAGTACAATAAAGACGCCTTAGGTCAATCAAAAGTTTTTCATGTCGCTTACTTTCAACATCCCTTTCTCACAGATGTAAGGCAGGAGTCACAGAACTGCTGCGTAATATATATATGCTCTTCAGCAGGTAACTGGACATCTCTGTCTCTCATTCCTCTGTGTCCCAAATGGGACATAGGGATTCAAGCTTGAGACTTGAAGTTTCAGTAGTGGTGTGGATTCTTTTAACGGGGATAGGTGACCAGCTTAACGACAAACCTCCCCACTTCCCCAGGTTCAATTACCACTGGCTAGCTGAGGTAGAGGAGTTAGTCGACCGGGAATCGAAACCCAGACTATATGAGTGGTTGGCGAGAATTTTGCCAAAAGAGAATTTTGTAATGATAGAGAAAATTCGTAGCTTAGTGATGATTTGAAGTGGTTGGTTGTCTTTGTGTACAACAACTAATCACGTCCAAGGTCGCCAGGAGAGATGATTAATAAACTCGCGGAGAAATCTAAAAGCTCACTTCAAATTGAAGTATGCGCTGAAGATGTCACCTAGTAGGGTGATGAAAGCTTCGCAAATAAACTATCCAGCTCAGAGAACACAACCACATCAGAATTTTGTAATATTGCCGAGATTTTATAACTCACTGAGACTGATGAGACTTTCGAAACAGACAAATTTATATCCATCACTGTGTTCATAATAAAATTAAATAAGAATAACTGGGGTAAGGTTCGAAACCTTGACCCTATTGCTTCATTCAAAAAACACACGATATTTTCGAACCAATCAGAAACTCGGGAGAAACTACTACTACTACTACTACTGTGGTGAGAGCTGTCTACTAGCCAAATTGGTAGACAGTAATTTACGTCAATATTTACGTTCCCAAGATTTGTCTGAGAAAATGTGAACAAAGATTGACTTGCGTAGCGGTACAGTTAACATATAGAGGATTTGACATTCAAGAAACAGTCACAATAGATGAAGATTAACTTTACGTGAGAAACAACCAATCGGAAGACTGTGTTTGTTTGCTTAAATATCTATAGTAATGTACATGAAAATATATAAATATGCGTTGGTTTCCTTAACAAATGATCTGTTGCCTGACTCTTGCCTTCTGTCGTTACACTACTACTCACCTTGTAAACGAAAAGTTCAGTTCGTTTAACAGCCATAAAATAACGACGATACACTTTCAGACCGAATTTTCTTGGCTTACAGATCTTCACATATGTGTTCAACTCTGGTAGACCAGGATCACTGTCATTTGTATCCTGTAACAAGTCGCTTCCGCCATCCATATTATCCAACAGACTCAGTGGACGTGGTGACCGTTGTCTAGGCCTTGAACGATGCTGCGTCTTAATCCCATCTGATGGTAGACAACCCTCTGTATTCTCTAGACAGTTCATTGATAATTCTTCAAGCAGAGCATCAATTTCACTATCCAGCTCTACGGCACTCATTGGTCTTGACAGTGTTTTAATATGCCGACCTGTGTGTAGATATCTACCGAGTGGAGAGATATCACGATTGTGTATCACCATTGTTGATGTTATCTTTTTCATATTTGTCTTACAATTTTCAGCAATACTCTTCTCTAGCAGATTATCGAGTAATTGATTTGTTGTACCGTTAGCTGTGGTATTGGCGGTGTTGCCATTCATCTCTTGGCTGTGTGATAGATTCTCATCGTTTAGCAGGGCTTCTTGTTCAGTGGCCAGTTCAGCCTTTAAAACAAAAATAAATAGGGAACTCAAATCAATAAAATGTATAATAATAATAATAATAACGACATTAGTAATAGCCTTATTTCAAACAGTAATTTTGATACAAGTATGAAATTTTCAGCAGCATGTGATAGTTGAAAGGTATGTGAATACATGCGAAAAATGGTCAAAAACCATACTCTCCGACCCCCAACACCCCCTCTATTCCCAACTCTTGCCTTGTATCCCATCAAGTCGAACCAGAAATCAGTATAAAATAATCTATGCTCGTACAACCAAGTACAGGAACTCAACGATACTATACTTTGCCTGTGTTCTAAGTGACAGAGACAATGTTAAGCGCGAAACCTATGACTTGCTTTGTTGTTAACAACATAATTTTAGGCTCTTTTATTTCTCTTTTATTTTGTATTTTATAGTGAACTCCTTCTCAAACATACTTAGCTACCTAAATTGTTATCATTGGCTTACTTCTTTATACTTTACTGTATTCCTTCTTTTGTGTATCTACTGGCTTTGACTATATTAGCACTATGAGTAGTACAAAATTGTCCTGTCATTAACCATCATGTAATTATTAGTTTTTGTGGTTGTTTTTTCTTATTTTCTATACTTTTCGGCAATATTAAACTGACAATCTTGGTTGTGAACGCCATAGTCACCACCTTAAAAAATGTTTGTATTATTCAGGATTACTCACACTACCACTACAAACACTGCATTAGACCTGACAATAAAAAAACAAAAGAACAACCCTGAAATGTTATTTTATGATTGTTTAGAGTTGTTTCAATCAAATTAACTGATCATCTTGGCGATAAACATTCTTAAATATCATTTCATAACTTCTTGTATGACTGTAGCTTTACTGTCACCATGCATAATCATATCATAGCTTCGACTACCCAATACTGAGATATTATTTCATACAATTTATTTTCCTTTCTACTTCTTGGTATTTTTTCGCATTTTTAAAATTATTTTTGTGTTTTTTTACTGTTGTTGTCTTTATATTTATTTTTTTTGAAATACTCCTTTTAAACGTTGGATAAAATTAGATGCAAATATTGTAGATATGTGCTGTAAATTCTACAATGTACTGTTTCTGGAATAAAGCAAATTATTATTATTATAATTATTATACAATCAGTATTGCAACTAGTTTCCTCATTATATGGGGTAATAATTAAAACAGGGCATCTACATTGATAATATTGTTAAATAAGAATATGAGTATTGAATTAAATTAAATTAAGCGGAAATATTAACAACAATGTAACCATGGAAACGAAATAGGGCTATTTACTTCAGTAAGTTCCTCAGCAGTAAGTTGGTAATTTCCTGTCTTACACACCTTTCTCATCACATAAAATGTGTCCCGGTTAAATAAGGTGGTAGCGTAGAGTTTTTGTACTTAGTCATCCGAGCATGTAGTCTTCTATAGTTGCTTCTAGTTGTGCACAGAGAGGCTGTTCCGAGTCTGACAGGATAATATTTGCCAATTTCTTGCAGGAATCCATGTGTCTATCTATAACAGTATTAACGAGTTGGTTTGATGACATCCAACTCGCCCTACTGACAACTTTAAATGCCCCTTCACAGTGTAACAAAGTCTTTCTTTTGTAGCCAAGGATAGATTAAGGGTTGGAGAGCAGCAAAGAAGGATAGGTAGAATACAAGAATTAACAAACGGCAACAGTAGAGACTGAGTGATAGCAGATCGTTTTAACTTCCTTACATAGAACGTCAGACGAAATATCTTTCTGGAAACTAACATGATGTGGGAAGACCAGGAAAGATGATAAGAGGAAATACACGGTCCAAGGTATTTAACATTCGATTTAGTTCTAACTTCTGTGCCATTTATGATGGTAGAATCATGGGGAACGAACCAGTTCATATAAGTGGCGCTTGTGTCTGAAAGTGGCATTAACAGCCTGACATTTGGAGGGGTTTAGTCCAAAGACCACCATTTGACAAGGATCGCTGACTACTTTCTAACAAAAGTTATTCATTTTGGAACAATCTGAATGAGACGTAACTGTCATACAAACAGTCAGATTATCGAGATACTTAACAAAGTTGGCTTCGTCATCAGAATGGGGCAAGTCATGTAAGATGAAAGAAAACAGAAAGGCAAAAGGGGAGGAGCACCTTGAGGAACGCAGGCTAGAGTAAGTAAATTAGTAGAGAAATTCCCATTATGCCCAGTCTACTGCTTCCTATCAGAAGAGGAGGAAGAATGTAACGATTTATTTATTCAACAACCTGTTTGTGATGCAGTGACCGTATTTAACAAGAGAGGCCTAGGTACAGAGTAGCAATTAATGGACGTGTAATTCTTATATTCTCCTACGGGAACTCGATAGTAACTCTATTACAAAGACAGTTTTATTGTCCAATATGACTTTTAAAACGCTAATAGTACTTTATCATGTCAGGAAGATATTGAAAATGTAGACAAGTCTAAAAGTGTATCAAGACCCAGAACGATGAGTTATCACATTCTCCACCCTTGACACTGGAAGGACAAACAGTATTAATTTAAACTTTATTTGGAGCAATGCACATTACGGTTGTGTTATCATCACCTGGATACTAATGGGAAGGGATGCTCAGCATTATGCTGAACTTTTCATATTCCCCACGTTTACTATTGATTAGTGTGTTGGTCGAGGATGGAACATGGACATGGCCAGCATTAAACAACAGACGAACTTAAAACAACTGATAGTTCCCTTCTTTCAAGTAGTACACAGGTAATTTATTGGTAGAATGCCTACCAGTGACACAAATGGTCTAGGTTCGATTCTCTGCCCATCCCACTCCTATATCCTCCCTAGTTTACTATCTGACAGTACTAGTCCCAGAAAAGAGGGAAGGTTGGATGTGAAGTTGATAAGAATCCGTCAACAGTTGATGTGGCCAAGTGAACTAGATATTGATTATTCGTCCTTAGTACTTTTCCCTTCACTGAGCCACGTAAATATTGAAAGACAAAGACTGGCCTGTGATTGTTAGGTTTAGAAATTCTGACCGACAACGATAACGAAGCAGATAATAGACAGGATGACTACAACGATCATTTATTAAAAGTCAGTCTGAACGAAAAATATTCTTTCCATTAATTTCTCCTCTTCAGGTTCTTACAATTATAAAATATAAGATTTGTTTTCGTTACATTAATGACAGCCAGTTATGCGGCGGATACATTTTTAACGTAGAATAACAGATTATTTATGGAGTGTCAAAATAAATAGTCGTATTTGTGTGACAAACGTTCTCTGGGCTGAAATCGATTACAAAAATATTGTAAAACGGGAGACAGTGGTGATGATTAGTCATCATAGATTGTAGAGTGTGGGGTAGGAAAATTGACAAGTCAGTTGAAGGTTATAAAAGGTGTCAGGTGAGTGGCTAGTACAAAATGGTATGTATTAAACAGGAGATCGTAAGACTGCAATGAAAGGTTCATATTGAAATAACAAATGTGTGAAATGAAACAGGCGGAGGCATATATCGAGAAAAGAGATAATATCACTAATAACAAGTCCGGATAGTATAAACAGAAAATTCGATAGTATTGAGAGAATGTTTGCATGAAGTGAAGAAACTATGACGAATAATAATAATAATCGTAATAATAAGCAAATGGAAAAAAAACCAAGGAGGTTAAGGGGAAGGAGCACTCTTGGTGAGAAGAAGAATCATCAATCCAAGTTTGGCCACGGTAGGAACAGCGTCTGGACGTGTTCTTTTTGGATACAAAGTTCCGGTTTAGTCGATCTTATTGTAACAGCTTCAGCTATGTGTAGGAGACGTAAGCGAACTGTACGTGATAACGACTTCGGAATTCGGTATATAACCCTGAAAGCTGTGTTGACATTGATATGATATCCAGTACTGACCAAGTGTGACAGGATCGAGCTTTTTATTCACTTAAATTCCCCCTGCTGAACCAAGCTCTACGAATCTATGATGACTAATCATCACCACTGTCTCCCGTTTTACAATATTTTGTAATTGATTTCAGCCTAGCACGTTTGTCACACAAATACGACTTTTTATTTTGACACACCATAGCTACTGATCTGTTATTCTATGTTAAAAAATGTATCCACCGAATAACTGGCTATCATTAATGTAACGAAAACAAATCTTATATTTTATAATTGTATATGAATCTGAAGAGGAGAAATTAATGAAAAGAATATTCTTCATTCAGATTGACTTTTAATCCATAATATGGGGATATTTCACACTATCAGATCATTTATTAGACAAAATATATTATTATTCTTTTGGGTTCCGAGAGGAACATAGAATTTCAACAACAAATCAACAACACTTTCTTCTATTTTCTGCTGTCCTCTTCAGCCGGGTAGCTGCACGATTGCCTATAATCTCTCATCTACTCCTCCTTCTCCTCCTCGCCACACGATCTCCTCCATGCCACCCTCTCAATGATGACCCACTCGTCGCTCCTCATTGGGGTTCCACTCGAGCGATGGCCTGCATTGCGCGCTATGTCATTCGACGGTCTCCTTAGTGTATGCTTAATCGACCTCCATTTTCTCCTACATATGTGTGTTTAGCAGTGGGCTCTCACCTGTTAGTTTGTTCCCAGCCAGAGTTTCTTCTTGCGGCAATTTTATCTTCATTATGGAGGTAGACAAGTAGGTAGTTATTGATAAAAGTCTGTAACAGGCCGTTGGAATCGCTTTTTGTGACACACTGGTCAAGTTTCTGACTTATATAGAAGAACTGATTGACTTCACATTAGTGTTAAAATCCGAATCTTTTTCTTTACACTGGCTGAATGCAGAAGATTTCCAAACTGGTTTCAGGTTGATGGAGGTGTATTTTGCCTTTCCGATTCTGGCTGGCTAGTTGGTTTTGACATCTTCATCCGTTCTGACTGCCTGTGGTTGAAACCGTGCTTCCTAAATAAGTGCTTTTAGCCTCCCCTAGTTTACTAGCTCGCTAGTTTTCTAGCTGGT